TGTGCTAGTTTAGTTTATGAAATTTAAATTAGTATTTGTTTATTTCATTTATTACGATTGGATCGAAGAATGCAAATCTTCATTAATAATTCACACTCAATTAGAAATTATCAGATTATGCTCTTTACCTTACCTTTCCAATTTTTGGTTTCACATATATTTTGTTTACAAAGCTTTAGAACTTCGCTTATTTGGAGTATCTATAAATCTGATAATATCAATATACTGAATATTATCTATGCAAATTTCTCTCAAAAGACTATCATCCTCTATTCTTATAAATTGATAATATGATGAAGAAAATGCGCTTCATTAAGAAAAAAAAACAAGCCCATATTATCGAGCAACATAATTAGAGTGAGTCAACAATAACTACAACATGTTTCGAACAATAAATGAAAATGAATTTTTAATGAATGACAATCATAATAAAAATGTACAAATCAAGTTTCAACTGATATTCTAGATTTCTAAATATGCTTAATCCTAGTTTTAATGAATATGATATCTATAATTTTGAAGTATTCCTTAGATTTTTTCTCAGATTATGAGATTAAATGGGAACATTGCAATTTAAAAGAATTAATTATATTTTTTTATAATTTTCAGACCATGATGCATTAGACTGAGACAATCTCATCAATTTAAGCATTGAAATTAATCTAACAAACAAAATTACTTAGCTTATTAATCTTTATTCGTTCTGAAAATAAATAAAAGATAAGTTCATCAAAAAATAAAACTTACTAATAGTTTAGGTGAAATATTTATGGCAGCCCTAATAATGTGGAAACATTTGGAAAGAGCATAGAAAATTGATTAGACATAAATTAAATACCAATCAAAGCTCTCTTTAACGGTTGATGCATATTAAAATGGATTATTAAATGTTTCGAAAGATCTCCAGCAGAAGGGATTTCTTATCCTATTCAGACAATAATAGGTAATGAAATGATATTGATAATTTAAATAGTACAAGGAAGTTTAAGTAAAGAAAAAATTTAATAAAATGTATATTATAAACATACTAAAAAATTACTATCAAATAATTTATTAAAGAATAGAAATCTCTTGGATATTAGGTCATTTTAATTAGAAGATCTATAAATAGAAGTTTTACTTTTAAAGGAAAATGGAATCAAAATTGAATAGTATTCCTTATAATTAGAAAAAATTAGAACAAATAAAAATTTACAAGATAAATCCATGATAAGAAGAAATGAGAGGTTTGATCATAAATTAACAAAAATATAGAATCTGTAATATAGCCAAAATAGAATTCTAAAAGATTATAGACAAAGGAAATTTTTGTTCTTGAAATAAAGAGTAGAAAAAACTATTGATACTCAAAATATGAAAAGCAGAATAAGAAGACTTGCCTCTGTACATGAAAACCTAATGAAAGTAAAAGGACAAATAATATTTTAAATATCAAATAAATGGATTAATAAACACTATGTGAATAGAATAAGTACAAAATTAATCTTTTTAAATTAATAAGGAATAAAATGTGCTATTAATATAAATTGGATTGCAACGCAATGAGATTAAGAGAATATGATCTTCACCCACTTAGCAAATGATTAGAAAATGAGTTAAAGAATGATAACTTAAAAGAATGAAAGAGAGAGCCAGAATATAATGATTGTATTATTGAACAATAAAAATAAGTAATATTAAACTAATTATTCTATATAGTTCATCTCCAAGATTTCCTGCATTGCTTTGGATAATAAGTATGATAAAGCAGAGCATGAAATCAAAGTGATAACTCATAAATAAAATTATGCTTCTTTTACATCAACAAAATTCGGGCTATATACATTTTACAGTTATTTGTAAACAAAAACTCATGATTGATTGGACAGGATATTACCAGTAAAAAGAGAATAATTTAAGATGTATTATCCTCATTAACATAATTATAATTATACAATAGAAAAAAGTACTTAAATTAAGAATAGGAATTTATATAAGAAGGCTAAACAAATTGTAAAGATTAGGGAAAGTGGAAGAATTCAATCATTGAATTAGAATAATTAAATTTTGTCATTTAGAGAGACTTATCAGGATATACATGGAGTTCCATAGGGTATTCAATAAACCTTGAGATATTGTAAAAGTATGAAATAAATACCATAAAAATATCGTTTTGGGGTGGTGATAATAGATATTATAATATCAAAATCTTCATCATATTAAATGGCCAAGAAACTTAGATTTATAACAATTTAGCGAAAAGTATATTGATGCTAACTTTTCCTAGTCAAATAGTCTCTGGATTTAGGGTACTATATGTTGCAGGAAATAGATGTAATAAATAATTAAATTCTAAGATGACCCAACATCAATATTATTAAGCCAAAAAAAGTGAATAAATTGTGATATTAAATAGGTTCCCAAAGTAATTATAAATTCTTTTTATTTTGATACCAAAAGGATGGTTCCTTATTATTTTTATATTCTATTATAATATATAATTTTTGTAATGCTTGATCCTATTTCCTTACATAATTATCATAAATAATTTGTAATTTCTCCTTAAATCATATCTAAAATTGAAAGAACTAAGATCACCTTTATCATATTATTCTGCGGATGATTTTAAAGAATCACTATCTATCTAATAATAATTAAATAATTGTATCTATTTTTATTAATAGTTATTTTTGGATGTGTTAATTTCCAATTTATTCTGGAATCATTTTAGAAATTGATACTTTGCATTCAAATTCAGTCATTGGTTGAATTCACTTCATTTATTTATTGCAACACCCAAATGTATCAATCTTTCTATGATTATCAATTAATTTTTCTCATAGTTTAATTTTACTTTCAATGAATCTAATCAATTGACCCTTTCAACACCATAATATGATAAAGATCTCTCCTATACATCTTCTGTACAAACAAAGTTGTAACATTCGGCCTTTATCTCCTGCTTATGATCACCCTTAAGTTATTAACTTTAAATTCTCTTGCTTTTCCAATCTTAAAAATTCATTTCTAGTTACATAAAGATTCCTATTTTATTAATATGGATCTTCCTTCATTAAGCAAAGAAATATGTCAAAAAATTCACTCACTCTTCCCAAAATATTAATTAACTCCTTTTCCATGAACTATTTAATAAACAGCAAATATTGATCTTTCCTTCATAAATATCTTAATAAATTGAACCCTTATTAATCTATTATTGTAAAATTTTGTTTCCTTGAATCTTGAATGAAAAACTTAACTACCTTATGTCTTAATATAACTAAACAAACCATTGTTAAATATAAACTTAGTCATAAAAGTTTTCTAACTTTATTTCATCAGAAAAAATTGAAATAAATGAGAGGCAAGTATTTGTTAGAGAATTATTAGAACAAATGATATTTTTCATCCTTAAAAGACCTAACCCTGGATCTATATACAAGAGGCTTGCTGAAGTTTAAGAAGGATCTTTATTATATTCATGAAAAATATTCTATTTGAATAATATTTTTCCTTTAACAATAAGGTTTGAAATTCATATATATTCGTTTGAATTTAACATAAACAATGGATTTGATTAAATTGAAATTATTGATTGATCTATACTAAATACATTTTAGAGTTGAATTAAATTTAGAGTTATATCAATAAACCCAGAGACTTATAATAATTATGAACGAAACATCTAATCTCATAGACATTCAGATGATAGTTGAATTTTATGTTCTTGATTTGAATTTTCATAAATTAAATTTTCTATATCAAGGAAAAAAAACGATAATTTAATGTATCTTTTATGAAGATGTTTTAGTTAGTTAATTGTAAGCAGTTAATTATTATAAGATACTATTCTTAATAAGAAGTCAT